TCCGAAGAACACAAGTGATTTTTCTGTATCTGGTGAGGGGTTGAACTTGTTATACTGTTTGCCAAACTGACTTCTCTTCCTGATATCTCCAGTGGCACCATCATTCTTCTGATCACCCAGGATCAAAATGTCTTTCTGGGTGCATTCCTTTCCCTAACCTCCCATATTAAATCCCTCTCCAAGGACGCCTGGGTGGCTCAGTGGTTGAGTGTCTGCCTTCAGCTTGGGTTGCGATCCCTGGGTCCTGGGATTGAGTCCTGCAACAGGCTCCCCTCAGGAATCCTGCTTCTTCCTCTGCCTTTCTCTTTGTCTCTCATAAATAAAATCTTTTTTTTTTTTTTTAAATCCCTCTCTGTTAAGTCCTGCAGGTTTTCCCTTGAGCTCCCTCTTACACCTATTCTATCCTCTCTGTTCCACTGTGACCCACATCATTTAGACTCCTATGACTGAAGCAGACTCGAGGTCAAGGAGCATGTCTCCTTGTGGTGGTCGAGGTATGAGAGAATGAGGTGTTGGGGGTCCTGGCCCTGAGTCCATGCCATCTCAATCTGTCTCTCTCCACTCCTTCAATATGACTTACAGAACCTGGGAAACTTGGTCTCAGCGCAGTATACTTATTTGCCATTGTCAGGCTCCTTTTCTTAGTAGAATATTGGAACATCTGATTCAGAGAGCACTTTGAAAGGTTGCGTTCTCCTTGAGGCAAGGGAACTAAAGACCAGTGGACTATCTAAGCATTCTTAACTCAGCTTTATTTTGCCTAGAAATGAGAATGCTGTGCTAGGGAGAATGAGATGACTTTTTCTCATTAAAAAATAGTTGTAGATTTTTTTTAATAAATTAATTTTTATTGGTGTTCAGTTTACCAACATACAGAGTAACACCCAGTGCTCATCCCGTCAAGTGTCCCCCTCAGTGCCCATCACCCAGTCACCCCCACCCCCCGCCCTCCTCCCCCTCCACCACCCCTAGTTCATTTCCCAGAGTTAGAAGTCTTTATGCTCTGTCTCCCTTTCTGATATTTCCCACACATTTCTTCTCCCTTCCCTTATATTCCCTTTCACTATTATTCATATTCCCCAAATGAATGAGAACACACACTGTTTGTCCTTCTCCGATTGACTTACTTCATTCAGCATAATACCCTCCAGTTCCATCCACGTTGAAGCAAATGGTGGGTATTTGTCGTTTCTAATGGCTGAGTAATATTCCATTGTATACATAAACCACAGCTTCTTTATCCATTCATCTTTCGATGGGCACCGAGTCTCCTTCCACAGTTTGGCTATTGTGGACATGGCTGCTAGAAACATCGGGGTGCAGGTGTCCCGGCGTTTCATTGCATCTGAATCTTTGGGGTAAATCCCTAACAGTGCAATTGCTGGGTCGTAGGGCAGGTCTATTTTTAATTCTTTGCGGAACCTCCACACAGTTTTCCAGAGTGGCTGCACCAGTTCACATTCCCACCAACAGTGTAAGAGGGTTCCCTTTTCTCCGCATCCTCTCCAACATTTGTTTCCTGCCTTGTTAATTTTCCCCATTCTCACTGGTGTGAGGTGGTATATCATTGTGGTTTTGATTTGTATTTCCCTGATGGCAAGTGATGCAGAGCATTTTCTCATGTGCATGTTGGCCATGTCTATGTCTTCCTCTGTGAGATTTCTCAAAAAATATGGAACGCTTCACGAATTTGCGTGTCATCCTTGCGCAGGGGCCATGCTAATCTTCTCTGTATCGTTCCAATTTTAGTATATGTGCTGCCGAAGTGAGCACTAGTTGTAGATTTTGATGTTAGTGATAAGGAACTAGATCCAGGATGTGTTGACCTTAATCATGATGCATCTATGAATCCCATCACGCATGTAGCCCACATAAAGGTCTTTTACTTCTGTGAAGGATTGGTCCTACCAGAGACTGCTTCTGAGGAGATGGGAGTTTAAGTGATAAAAATCTCAAGAAACCTGGTTAATTTATTCAAAATATGAGTGCAGAAGCTAATAATTCTTTTTTTTTTTAATTTTTTTAGAAGCTAATAATTCAGCCATTCTTTGGACTTAACCTTTATTGTGTAGAACACTTACCATATTACAATAATTTGTTTACTTGTCTCTTCTCTGCCTGGGTTCAAATTCTGACCCTGACAATGACTAGCTGTGAGTAAGCTGTTTAACTGTGCTATCCCTAGTTTCCACATCTATGCAAAGTGATGGTAGCACCTACCTCACAGAATGATTATGAAGATTAAATTCAGTGTGGATTTAACTTTCCCTAGGGCCTAGTACCATGCTGACTCATGGGTACTCAGTAATTATTTGTGAATTATTTTAGTAGGAAATTTTTCTGTAAACTTCTTTGGAAAGCCAAGCTTAAAGAATTTCTTTGTTGTATTACAAGAGAAATTTTGGGAAGAGAATTTTCCCAAAAGATACATTTCTATTAATCATATAGAACTGAAGATAATGTCTGTCTGTAAAGAGAAGTTGAAACCACATAAATGTTTTGAATATTTTATGACTGCATTTATGAAACGTTAGGATATCTCCATTCCCACATTTGGATGGGTTCTTGGAATTGCCTTCTGTGTCCCATCCACAATGGCTAGAAGCTGATTTGAATTTTCTCCCAGAAGGTGTGGACCTGGGGGCACTAGATACTTTTTGTTGTCTTGTTTCGCCTGGCATGGTCTCCCTCCAAGTATCCCAAGCATTTGGAGCTCATATCCTTTATTGTACAATGTGTACATGCTAGTACACATTGTCTTAGGACACTTAGAGTTGACATGGTTTGTCATTTACTTATTATAGGTTCACTTTAAATTGTAATTGGCCTTAGCTTTTGTTGGGGAAGGACAGAGTCTTATTTTTCTTTCCCTCATAGGAACATGTAAGAATGGTGAGCTATTTGCTGATTGATAGGTCTAAAATTATGTTTGTTCCACATGTTTAGAAAAGTAATTTCTGAAAGGGAAGGTGTTGAATAGCCTTCTCTGGCAATAAATAGTGGTGTTTCTCACCTGATTGGGGTATGAAAGTGAGGTTTTGGGGTGCTTATGAAATAGCTTCTGCTTCCAAAGTTGGAATTATTTGAACTTTAATTTGAATGCACATTTGAAAATCACGCATTTGGGCACCTGGGTGGCTTAGGATTGAGCATCTACCTTTGGCTCAGTTCATGATCCTGGGGTCCTGGGATCAAATCCCACATTGGGCTCCCTGCAGGAAGCTTGCTTTTCCCTTTGCCTTTCTCTGTGTGTCTCTTATGAATAAATTAAATATTTTTAAAAAAGAAAGAAAATCATGTATTAAAAGTATGGCAGAATATTATGTCAGGCTAGTCTGTTCAGAGGATGGAGCTTGGATCAGACCAGGGATGCAGGTACATGAAAGAATGTACTTCAGTTCTTCCCTGAAGAAAAGGTGGAGGACAATTATAGTAGCAAGAGCACCAGCTCTCAGGAAAGATGGTAGGCATATTTGGCATTGCAAGTCCAATTAAGTGGGTCTGGCAAAGAGCAGGTATATAATAGTTTTCTGTCACTGCCATTATAATATTGCACACGTGAGGCTTAAAACAACACACATTTATTCTCTAGGTCAGTCGGTATGAGACTTACCTGGCTAAAAGGAACTTCTCCATCTGGAAGTCTCATAGGCATCTCAGACTTAACCATCTCTTAAATGGACATGCCTTTTAATCTAAAGCTGCTTCTCCTTCTGTCTTCCCCATCTCATCATATACCAGTTCCATTCTGGAATTGCTCATGTCAAAAACTGTCGACTCATTTTCAACTCCTCTTTCTCATAAGCCCCAGTCAACAAATCTAGTTGGCTCTACCTTCAAGATTATATAATCAGTCTGATTATTTCTTACTGTCTTAGTTTGGATTCTTGTAGGAGCATTTTAAGTGGGTTTTGCTTCTTCTACTCATGTCCCATTTTAATGTATCCTCAGCATAGCAGCCAGAATGATCTTGCTAACATGTAGGCCAAATCTGTCACTCTGCTCTTATAGCCAGTTGGCCCATTTTACTCAGAGTCAAAGCCAAGTACCTTCCGGCGGCTGGACAGGGCAGGCAGGCTCTTCACTCTGTCCCCTCAGTGCTCTTCACTGTTGTCATTTGCCTACCTCATAGGCTGTGTGGAGCAGTACATCATCAGACCTTCACAGTTTCCTACCTGCCCATAGCCAAGGGTCATCCTTGGTTGAGAAGGCAAATTTTAGGTCAAATAGGGAGGGACACCTGGTTCTTCGACATTTTCTGGTTCACCTCCGCCTTCTTCCAACCCCACGTGACAGCCACGAGTCTCAGTGGAGGGGTTTTTCCTGTCTATCAAAAAGTTGATAGAGATTTCCCCACAGGGTTCCATGTTCCCCAGATCCAGGGACAAGCCCAGGGGCATTTTCTGGTTCTGCTGCTCTTGTACACAATAAGGCCAATAACTGAAGGGGTAGCTGCTACTGAAATACAAACCAGTTGTTGGGGTTTGAGGAGGGGGCAAGTGTTCTTAGAAAAAAGGGATGGGAGGGAGTGGTTCCTATTTTATGTTTAGTGCATCAGTCTTCCAAACATCTTTCTGCTCAATTGGCCACACTCCTGGGGATTTTGTGCAGGAAACAAGCATCTTTGCAAACTGTTCCTTGCTGTTGAATTCAGCAGCTGGTAATGAGGTGAAGGACGCAGACAAAGCCTTTCCATAAGAAATGTCAGAGCAGGCTGAGTGAGGTATCCACCCTTGTGCCTCTACCTGCATTGTGCTTGGTACCTGGAGGGTTCAATGGATGTTTGTTGTACTGAAATGACACATTTTTAAAAAGTTAATGAGCATACCAGATGATAAGTCAGTCACACAAATAAGGTCAAGATAATACATACCTTATTATCCCTGGGATTCACTCTCAGTGTAACCAAAGGAAATAAGAGGGGGCTAAGATCATGCCCTTGCCTTTTAGGACATCCCAGGTACCAGTTGGGGTTGATGTGTTTTGCTTTTGTCTGATAGGTCATTGCTTGTGAGCAGCAGTATGACTCTTCCTATGACGCTCGCTGTGACGTCTGGTCCTTGGGGATCACAGCTATTGAACTGGGGGACGGAGACCCTCCCCTCTTTGACATGCATCCTGTGAAAACGCTTTTTAAGATTCCAAGGTAGGACACAAGATGGCGCTCTTGGCTCATTAGTCCTTTGTGAGAGGGCTGTTTAAGAGGGATAATAAATAGTTCGTAAACAATTTCTGGCCAAACCTGAGAAAGCCTAATTGTAAAATGTATTTCTTTTGGGGAAAAGCTGGGTGGTGTGGTGGAGGAAGGAAGAGGATGGATATTCCTAAAAGATAGCACATCCCAAGAAATAAAAGGTCTGTGTTGTAACCATTGCATTTATTTTCAGTACTCTGATTTTTCCGATACTTGTTCACTATGCTTTGCAGGACTAAACATGCGATTTTGGATTAAGTAATCTGTCTAAATACTAGTGTTTTCTTTTTAATTGTATAATCACATCTGATCATTCTGTTTGAATCTTTCTCGAGTATTCAAGAAAATTTGAGGATAAAAAACATGTATTATATTTTCATATCCACTTGAGAGCACTAAAAAATGTCAGAAAAGTGAATCAGTTTATAAGACCTTGTCTCCATCCCCTGATTTCCATCTCAATGGGACATTGTGCTGAAAGAGGTCTGTTTTGGAGGGTATTTAAATACCAGTATATTTTCTATTGTATGTATTCATTAGGGGTTTGTACAAGAGGTTTGGTGGTTTGTCTTGCAGCAGAATCAGGCTGCTGTTTGGCTGCTTAAGCCTCTAGTTACAGAAAACCAAGCAATCAGAGAGTTCTGTCCTGGCCAGGTTGCAGATTAAGAGATTTGTACCCTCCACATTTCTCTTTCAAAGGAAGACTCTGGGCAGGCTGAGCCGGAGCTGGAGCCTGAGCTGTTTAACTACTTTAACAATGCAAGCGTTAACCTTTCGTTATCTGCACAATCACACAGCCTTTAAAAATTTCTTCTGATTGCAATTTGCATTTCTGATTAGGTCTATTTATATGCAGATGAGGCTCTGTGGCATTCATCATCATAATGTTATCGTTTTATACCTAATCCAGATGTGAATAACCACCCACCATTATTCCAAAAATGATTCTCACCCAAGTCTGGGTTGGTCTTTTTGCCTTTGCCAAAGTACAAAAACAAGTCCAGGCAATTAGAAGAATAGATGACAAAAGCAACTGACTTAAAATTAATAGTATGGTGATCATTCAAAATGACGTAAGAATGCAGGACCGGGACGCCTGGGTGGCTCAGTTGGTTGGTGTCTGCCTTCTGCTTGGATCATGAACCTGGTTCCTGGGATCAAACCCTGCATAGGGCTCTCTCTGCTTGGCAGGGAGCCTGCTTCTTCCTCTTCCTCTGCCTGCCATTCCACCTGCTTGTGTGCATTCTCTCTCTGTCAAAGAAAGGAAGGAAGGAAGGAAGGAAGGAAGGAAGGAAGGAAGGAAGGAAGGAAGGACAGTATTGTATGCAGTAACATGTCAGAAAATGAGAAATGGAATTTGGGATGATTTGTGTGTATGCTTTAATATTTTACAAATCATTTACTTGTCATCATTTATTTACTGTGACCAAATAATTTCCCAAAGAACAGAATTAAGGTGTGGCTTCTAATTAGCAAGATATATGTACTTTTGATAAGAGATCATCTACATGGGTGTACTTTTCTATGTTTTTAAAGTATGTGTTTGTGTACAGACCACCTGTTCAGAAATTTCATAAGGTAGTAAATATGAGGCAGCTTAGAGGTGTGTGTGTGTGTGTGTGTGTTTAAATAGAATCTTTATCTCCTGTGCCTCCTCTGAGCTTCTGTGCCCAGCCAAATCTCTGATCTCTAGTAATCTCTACACCTCACTTCTTCTATCTTGGGAGAAGCTTCTAGAGCTGAAGGACAAATAACCAAACCCTCCCACTGCCTCCCTCAGGACAGAGTGAACCCCAGGAACAGGACAATTGCTAGAAAAGGATCTTAGGGGCAACAAGGATTCTTATCCTAAGATAGGTTGAAACTTTCTTTTTCTCCTCCTAATGTAACCTCCTGCCCTTTTACCATTTCTTGGTCTTGCACAAGTGATGAATCAGATTGAATTAGGTAATGTCAATAATAATCAGTCGTCAGATCCTCAGTGTGATTATATGTGCTGAACACTTGAGTTGTCCCAGCCTTAACAGCCAACTTGACATTCCTAGGCAGAAAGAATGGAGGTAAAAAAAAAAAAAAAAAAAAAAAAAAAAGCAGCATACTTGCATATACTATCTTTTTATACTCATCAAGTTATTTGCTTAAAAATTACCCTGTCAGAATCATGCAGTTCTCTTATGAAGTATTTTGGATTGACCAAGCATGTATGTGCACGTGTATACTATTTTAATTTTGAGTGCTAAAAATGTACATTTCCTCAGAAAAGCTCTTTGTTAGAGATTAGAGAAATTAAGCATTTATATATTTTAAATAGGCACTCAGATTATTTACCTGTGTGTTTCATGGGGTTCTTTCTCTTACTCTCCTTCTCTCAGCATTTCTCTCCTGAGAAAGAAAAGAAATTGACAAGTAATGACAAAAATCCTTTGAATCCGTTTGGCTTCTGTTTATTTTTTTCCTATTGGTTATGAGTGCTTTTGGTGTTCTAGAATTCCCTTCAGTTGGACAATGAGGTCCATTTCAGAGTATTCTGGGATTCTGAACACTGTGGCTTCCTCCTTTGGCTTTCCTTACTTACTTCTTGCTTACAGTCTCCTTTACTGGAAACAAATTGAGTAAATTACTAAAATAAGGGAAGAAAAGAAAATCTTTACTGAGTTAGGGAAGATGTGACTTTCACAGGTTACAAAGGACTTAGGAGTTAATGAAGTGCTTGTTTTTTTTTTTGAAGTGCTTGTTACATATGAGGTGAAAGCCTCAGATGTCAACAAAGCAGATAATTCTATAGGTTCCGTGGACGCTATCAGGAAATATGAAGCAAGACCTGCCTGGATGTGGTTGACTTGCTCTTTCTCTCTCTGCTTCCATTTCTTTTGGAGCACCTTCTTTCTTTTGACCTTCACATTAGAAGATGACACATGGAGTAATTGTGACCTGTCTTTGAAATACTGCGTGACTCACAGTCTTTCCTACATCACAAACACATACAAATTATCTGCTGACTGTGACAGCATCCACTATTTGCTGAACCTGTCAGTATGTGTCATCTTGTCTAACGCCTTTGCTCCAAAAAAAGTCACCCTTCTCTGACAGTCGCTGCTCTGTTTGCTGCTATTTTTTTCTAGGAGTTAGAAGAGAAGAAAAGAATGAAAACTGTTTCTTTGGGCATCTGTGGATTTGACAACGTCTCTCTGGTGACTCTCTCCTGAGGACTCCTTTAAAATTTCAGAGACTTAGAAGGATCTTGCAGATGACCTGGATATATTTTCCACTTTAAAAGGACATCTGTTTCATAGATGTAATTATAACAAGCCATAGAGTTAGAAGAAATACACAATTATGTTGTCTCTTGGCAACCAGATATCTTTCCTTAGTTTGGAATCTTTGGCTAATGACCTCTTTGATCTCCATAGATGGGAGTCAGAAAGGCAGTGGGGATCAGTGTGAGTGTATTTATTGGACAAGGACTAAAAGTTGTGTTGCCGGTCCATTTATTTGGGGCCAAATACAGGCTGACTCTTTCCACTGTCTTCCCACACATTGAGTACTTGCACTTTGTTCCTTGTAGAAAAATGCAGAATATTTTCAAGATTCCTAGCCAAAATGTCTTCGGCTGGGAGTGGATGGGACAGAATGGCCTGAACATTCTAGTCCCCAAAGCCAGTGATTTTCCCTTCCTAAAAAGAAGTTTCCCTGCAGTACACTGAAAAGAGAACTCATGATAATTACCAGCTCATGTTTGGACTTGTTTTCATCACCAAACTTAGGTTGTTTCAAACTGTACCTAAACTGTACATTATTTTCCTAAGGCTTCCGTAACAAATTCCCACAAATTTGATGGCTTAAAACAACACAGATATATTCTCTCACAGTTCTAGAAACTAGAGGTCCGAAATCAAAATGTTGGCATAGCCGTGCTCCTCTGAAAGCAAAGAGGAGAATCCTTCTTTGCCCCTTCCCACTTCTAGTTACTTCTCGTATTCCTTGGTTTGTGGCAGTATAATTATAATCTCTGCCTTCATTTTGATGTGACTTTCTTCCCTGTCTTTCTATGTCTTTTCTATCATGTCCGATAAGGACACTTACTGGTTTTAGAAAAACTCATCCTAATCCAGAATGATCTAATCTTAAGACCCTTGTCTTAATCATATCTGTAAAAGGCCCGTATCTCAGATGAGGTCACATTCTCAGGCTCCAAGTGAACAAATCTTCTGGGGGCCACTATTCAACTCACTATACCATCAACTTTCATGTTGTCTGAATTTCCTGAGAAACTAATTTGGGGTAAAATCTACGATAGCTAAACTATGATGAAAAAATAATAGATTTAGGGCTATTTGGCAGGTACAGTGCTATGTGTTTCACAAATATAAATGCATCAATTCCTACAGTGACCCTGTGAGGTAGATACTATCACCAACCACCCTTTTTTCTGGAGGAAAAAACTGGAAGCTCAGGGAGAAAGCCCCTGGTTATGTACCTATCTATAGAGGAAAATGGTTTGAATCTGAGAACTTTGACTCCAAAGCCCACATGTTTTGTGACTACAGTTGATTCTTGGACAGCATGGGAATTAGTGGGAATCCATGGTTGAAAACCTGTATTTAACTTTTGAGTCTCCCAAAGCATAACTACTAATAGCTTGTTGACTGGAAGCCTTACAAGATAACAAACAGTCAATTAACATATATTTTGTATGCTATATGTATTATATACTGTGTCCTTACAATATAGTAAATGAGAAAAGAAAATGTTATTAAGAAAATTATAAGGAAGAGAAAGTACATTTACAGTACTGTACTCTTTATTGAAAAAACATTTGCGTATAAATAAGACCTACTCAATTCAAGCCCATGTTATTCAAGGGTCAGCTGTACATTGAAAAGTTAAGGCCCTTTTTAAGTTATATTTATTTGTTTGATGAATTACGAGGTAAGCACTTAGGGGACTGGAGT